TCTCACGATGCCCCAAAGGATCAACGAACTCCACGAAGCGAAAGGAAGATCTACTAGATATTAATATGACTGAAAAATTTCATTTTTGTCTGACTAGGTTGTGTCTATTACTTGTGACCACGCTGTGTATATGTTGAATACTGAATCAAACCAAAGCAATGATTGGCATTGCTGCTTCATAGCAAATGTTGCTAAATATTAAGACAACTAGGGATTTAAACTTTTATATATCTGGGGAACGAAACTATAATTAGGACTAAAACATCATTTCTAATATATTTAATATTTAACTGAAGAAGACGCTGTCATCATTTATAGACCAAGCTAGGCCTAGTGGTTAGCGTGTCGGGCTGTGGATCCGAGGGTAAATGGTTCGTGTCCTATTACCTAAAACAAAAATAAAACACGCACCACACATTAGGACCTTGGGCACATTACAATAGTGGATGTCAGATTTCACTATTGATTAGAGTAACCCAAAAGTTGGCAGCGGGCGCTTTTTACTATTTTTCCTTAGCCTATCAGTTCAAAATTAAGGACAACTAAAAACGTATCCCTAATCGTCTACAATTATGTTTTCGTTCATTCATTATTATTGTAAACTTTTGAAACAACGCCTCCATTAGTTAATATGTTATTTACTTATTCTTATTAGCTCCAAAAGAATAGTCCCACTTGTAAAATAATGTAATTTAATTTTAATATATATTAAATTAGAAAGTGGGTAGTGCCTCCTATAGTTAATTTATCGCCCAATAAATTTTACTGTGGACGTAATACTTTCTATGGTCGCATTCTTATCTAATTATATTTATTTCACTCCAAAAACGTAGCGCCACATATACTTGTGCTTTTCTTACATCCTACAAGAAAGGAACAGTGACACCTGGAGTTAACTTTAAGTTCATTGATACATAATGTACTGAAAAGTACTAGCTTATTGTATAATTAAGTTTTCGATTAATTAAGCCACACCTTTTTTAGTCACATTTTTGTTCAAAGAAATTATTATGTTTGTAGAATATTTATATTAGTATCATTAAATTACCGAATCCGTTAAATAAAATATTCCAGAAGCGGAAACGTGTCTTATAATAACCAACCCGTCGCACCTTAAGAACTCTTTCTATTGTATATTCAGTTCAGGTTGTTAAGTTTGAAGAGGAATAATTTGTCATTTTAACACTGAATTGATATATTTTATTCCCCAATAGCACCTCATATTGACTTCGCACCAGAAGACATTCATAACACGATAGGAAGTTACGTAATATTCTCTTGTGAAGTTTCCGGTTGGCCAATACCTACAATCCACTGGCTAGTTGACAGACCAAATGGGGTTCGGAAACTTCTACCATGTGCGTTGACAGATAAGATTATATAATATTATATTTTGAAGAAATATATATCTAGTTTTTGTCCCCATAGTATTCTGCTTGAAAATTTAAATTACAGGTATAGTATTATATTAACATTTTAATTAGTTTAGTTTTTAAAAAATCTGAACAGTAATGAAAGAGTTCGTACACATACATATTGAAAAAAGATAAAGAGTTGTTTTGTAAATGAATTCGTAAAAATAATCAATTTTAGGGTTTATTAAAGTATGAAGAAGTAGCATGATTTTCTTAACTTTGCGTCAGATTTTTTAGTCGTGTTGTGTATATGCAATTTTATTTATTTTTCAAGTATCTTTAATTCTTTAAAAACATTAGCGGACGACTCCCACATTGCTGTTCAAAGTCGAGGTGGTCCCAGCAACTACAAGGTAACAGGGTGGATGCAAATTTTGAATCTAACTGAAGATGATGCTGCCACCTATTGGTGCTTGGTTAAAAACGAATATGGGGAAGTTTCTGCGTCAGCAAGAGTTATCGTTCTGGATGCCCCGCAAAAAGGTATACTTTTTATACTTATCAGTAATATCAAAAACGTTTTTTTTTGTGTGTTACTTGCTCTCTGTCAGGGGTTGCTTTGAAACTGATACGGTGTTACTTCAAGATGGGGGGTAGGGTAGAGATGATATACACACCAAATGTTCGCTGTGAAAGATGAACTTATTTGATTTACCCCACTTTGTTGTTTTGAGTATGACTACGTACGTCTTCTAACTAATTTTGGAGCTTACATAAATTCAATTTTAGTAAGGTTATCTCTTGGATCATTGTCGAAGAACCCAGAAGAACGAGAAATCTGAAATGGTGGTCCCTTCATCAGAAAGGAGTGTCTGCTCTTCAAAAATAACTTTAAAGTACATTGCAATGAGAAGTATGTAAGTTTTAACAAAAGCTCTATTCGGTATCTTTAACTTAAACAGCACCTTATGCGATACAAGGGCTAAATGGGCAAGTCAGAGATTCCTAATGTTCTGGCATAGCCATCGTTGATTTATAATTGCTGACCATAGGAAGGACGACCATTCAGCAGCACCAACCCCCCATGGAGCTATTCTTAACCAAAGGGCTAGGTTGACTGTCACATTTATACAGTTCTCATAGCTGAAAGTATGTAGTTTTTAGTGTCATATCGCGATTCGATCTCTGGACTTTCTACTGCGCAACTTCTAGACCATGCAGGTTGCATTGACAAAGCATTAAGCACTTTTGAGAAACTGCTAGTTTCTAACTGTCGTACACTTGTACTTTTTTTCTTCTTACTTGCTGACAACGAGTTTGAACGTATAGAACTATTTGCTTTTCTTATAAAGATCTAAATAAATTGAAACTTAACATTGAATTTCATTATTTGGCTCTGGTGAATTGCAATAGTGATGTCGTACAAGTTAAACGTTAATTTTGGCTCTTTCAATATTTTTTTTAGGTGATTCATATGAAGAAGAAGAAGAAGAACAATCCAATGAACAACTTTCAAAAACTTAGATTCTAAGAGTGTAGCATTGAATCGAGGTTACAGACAACGTTTGATACCACTATGGCTGAGGTTACAGACAACGTTTCATACCACTATGGATTTTGTCATTTTATAGTTCACTTAATTCTGTTTTAAACTAAACTGTTTAAGATGTGAGGTACACAAAATACATTTCTCATACATACATATATATATATATATGTGTGTGTGTGTGTGTGTGTGTTTGTGTTTGTATATCAATGCATCTCTTGTTGCTTGTGCATAGTTTATGTGGTTATGCTTAGCATTTGTTACGCGCTGAACTATCTGATACTTTTAAAAACTTTTTGAAATCTATATATTTTCCTGATAAGTGTATCGTTTGAATGAAATATAAGATTTAGCTTGTTTTAGAAACCTCGTATTTGAAGTTAATAAAAATTTGAGAGGTTAAAAAAGCTATGTCAAGTTATTTTATATTCTATAATGCCGGATTTGATTTATTGTAAAGCTTCTATTTTATCAGAACAGTAAGATAATAATGTGTTCAACTTAAAACAACGACTGTTTTTTTTTCTCTCCGCATAGCAAGCAACACAATCATGCCTATAACAAAAAGTGTGGTTCTCAATCACATTGCTTAAAAACTAATTATATTTACCAGAATTATAAATTATTGCTCATGGAAAAGTTGATTTTCAATAAAAATATTGTACATTTTTCTACACCACTCTCCGCCAACTCTTGGGCTACTCGTTTATCAACGAATAGTGGGATTGACCGTCACATTATAACGCCCCCGCGGCTGAAAGGGCGAGCATGTTTGGTGGGATGGGGATTCGAACCCGCGACCCGCAGGTAGTAGATTTGTCGGGGAGTGAAATGAAGATTAGAGATTTGTCTCAGGAAATTTGTCCTACAGGGACATTTATGGTCAGAAGAGACAGCATAAAAAACGTCTTTAGTTTCGTATTTACTTCAGCTGTTTCTTTCTACAGGAGCATTTATCGTCCGAATAACTAGCACAGAAACTTTTAATTCCCTATTTACTTTTGCTGTTTGTTCTAGAAGAACATATATCATCAGGAGAGCCAGCACAAAAACTATTTTAGTCCCACGTTTACTTCAGCTGTTTATCCTATAGGAACATTAGTAGTCAGGATAGCCAGCACAAAAACTATTTTACTTCTACATATGCTTCAGCTGTTTGTTCTACAGGGAAATTACTTGTCAGAAGAGACAGCACAAAAATCCTTAAGTTCCCTTATAGGAGCATATATCGTCATAAAAGCCAACACAAAACCTATTTTAGTCCCACATTTACTTCAGTTGTTTGTCCTATCAGAGATATTTGTCGTCAGGAGAGCCAATGCAAAACACCTTTTAGTTCCATATTTACTTTAGCTATGAAGATGCTTAGTTACTAATCCTCAAAAATAAAAGTTCACTTTGTTCTGCACACTACTCGAAAGAAAATTTATAAGTTATAGTTGGAATGCTTGTCACTAGATGTCACGTAACACTCAATACAATATATGATAACATAATGAAATTTATATTTATATACATAAATCGGGAGCAGAAGAATAATATTTCAGACAAAAGCCAAATGTATAATGAAATTGTGCAAATGTGCCTCTTATCGGCAACACACCTGGCCTACTTGTGAAAGGTTTATTTAAATTATCAGGAAATGAAATAGATTGTAATTACTTTAAAATGTCATCGCCTAATTTTGATAGTAGCTCAATATTTTATCGATTTTATTTATGCTTGACAAAATTTTCTCAGTGTCATGTACCTTCAGCTTCTGTTGGACGAAATCCATGGATGATGTGGAACCATGTTTTAGCCAAATAGCTTATCTACAATAAACGTATTATGCAGCAAGATAACTAAACTTCGTAAAGAAGTCTGCCCAGTGTTTCACACCTTCAAACAACACAAAAGTTTTAAGTAATCTCACTATTAAAGATCTTTATTTGCTGGTTTATGATTTAAAAAAAAAGTTATCGGTTATTAACCTGGCTATCATTACTTATGTATCGGATATAATTACAGAAAGCGAATTATTTAAACATCAGTGAGGAAACTAAAAAAAAAGTACGCTTGATAACAGGATTAAGAAAATTAAATTAAAGACAAAGTACAAGATTTTTATGAATAATCCCTCACAGTCTTGCCAAGGTGTTTAATGTAAAATCGAACAATTATTTATCTTAAACAGGTTGGAAGCCCCTCCCCCTCTATAAAGTAGCTACCAGCTACTATAACAAAAAAAAGAGGGGTTTGCATAGATAAGCTAAAGGGTTAACAAACTATTTATAAAGTGTTTATTTGCTTGTTTGTTAGCATAAAACTACAAAATAGGTTATCTATGCTGTGCCCACTCCGAGTATCGTAGCTCGATTTTTAGCGTTAAGAGCTCTCAGACTTACAGGTGAACCTTTATAGCGTGAAGAAACCTAATGAAGAGCCATAGGTAGGGGAAAAAAAGAGATGGACTTGTGCAGATCAGCTAAAGCGTCAATATAATATTCCGAAACTCTTTATAATGTGAAACAAACTGATAAAGGGCCCTAGATACCCTCCCCCCAAATATAAGTTTGCTGTCGCAAAGGTAAAAAACACCATGATTACTCGAGCAAGTAGAATATACGAACACTGCAGTTCATATTTATTAGAACTTTGTAGCGTATTCCACTAACTTTTGCTAAAAGTTGAAAACAACCTCACAGAATAAATACATTATTATAAGATAAAGCACTTGTTTTGTCATGAGAAACTCGATACAATGAAATATTAAGCAAAACAAAACTGTTTCCAGTATACTCCGAATAAGAATTATCTTTCGGCTATCGTTTTAGTTAGAAAGGAAAGAAATATTTAAAAAGCTTAATTTGGGCTATAACCACCACAGGGATTGAACTCCGAATTCGAGCGCTATACGCTCTTAAGTTTACCACTGAGCCACCATGAAGAAAAACATATCAAAGCTTTAGATAAGTAATATTCATAAGTTTATATAATGAAAACCTTTTGTATGAAAACATTGTATCAGCTATTGTATAACATTTTTAGGCCAATTTGTAAATCCCTGATTATAATTATTTCAAAAGTTAAAGGTTTAGTATTGTCAAGTCTACAGATTGGGTGAAAAGAAGTAAAAATAAAGTGAATTTGAATAAAATATCAGAACAAGAACAGCTTCATTTCAAATTAAGAAAAACCGGATTGGGTAGTTGTTGTTTTTTTCAACAAAAATATCCCCCACTGGTTCGTGA